AGAACTCTCTATCTCTCAGTCTCTACCTCTCTCTGTCACTCTGTCTTTCAAAAAATAAATATAAATCTTTAAAAAATTATTTATTTGAAGGGTAGAATGACAGAGAGAGAGAGAGGGAGAGAGAGAGAGAGAAATGATCCTTCATCCACTAATTCGATCCCCATATGGCCACAACAGCTGGGCTGGTCCGGGCTGAAGCCAGGGTCCTGGAACTCAATCCAGGTCTTCTATGTGGGTGAGAGAGCCCAAGCACTCGAGTCACATTCTGCTGCTTTCCCAGGAGCATTAGCAGGGAGCTGGATCAGAGGTAGAGCACTCGGGACTGAAACCAGTATCCAATATGGAATGCCAGCATCACAAGCAGTGGCTTAATCTATGCCACAGTGCTGACCCATGTCCCAAATTGGAGTGCCTGGATTTGATCCCTGGCTCTGGCTCCTGATTCCAGCTTCCTGCTAATGTGGACCCTAAGAGGCAACAGTGATGGCTCAAGTAATTGGGTTCCTGCCATTTATGTGGGAGAACTGGATTAAGTTCCTGGCTTCCAGCTTCGATTCCCCTGGCCTGTGCAGGCATTTGGATTGTAAACCAACAGATGTGAGCTCTCTGTGTGTATGTCTATCTCTGTCTGCTTCTCCAATTAAAAAACCAAAACAAACAAACAAAAAAAGGCAAGGCAAAAAAAATTTGAAATTTGTGCATAGTTTCTTCATAGTATGCATTCTTCATAAACTTTTTGAAGATCCCTCATATGCATAAATTTCAACATTTTTTGCAGCAAAATTGTTTTAATTCTATTTTCCAAGAATGGTCTGAAGTACCCATATATAAGGACCTCAACAAAGTTAACAACAAAAGACAAATAATCCAGTCTTAAAATGGGTAAATAATCTAAATAGACATTTCTCAAAAGAAGAAATACAAATGAGCAACATAGACATTAAAAATGTTCAGGGAATTTCAAAATGAAACCACAATGAGATATCATCTTACCATAGTTAGAAAGGCTATTATTAAAAAGCAAAAAAATTGCTGGTAAAGATGTGGAAATCGGAAACTCTAATATACTGTTGGAGGGAATGCAAATTAATATAGTCATTATGAAGTTCCTCAAAAATTGAGAATCATGGCTGGCGCCGCGGCTCACTAGGCTAATCCTCCGCCTAGCGGCGCCAGCACACCAGGTTCTAGTCCTGGTCGGGGTGCCGGATTCTGTCCCGGTTGCCCCTCTTTCAGGCCAGCTCTCTGCTGTGGCCAGGGAGTGCAGTGGAGGATGGCCCAGGTGCTTGGGCCCTGCACCCCATGGGAGACCAGGAAAAGCACCTGGAGCCTGGCTCCTGCCATCGGATCAGCGCGGTGCGCCGGCCGCAGTGCGCCGGCCGTGGCAGCCATTGGAGGGTGAACCAACGGCAAAGGAAGACCTTTCTCTCTGTCTCTCTCTCTCACTGTCCACTCCACCTGTCAAAAAAAAAAAAATTGAGAATCATTATTGCACTTTGGTTTGATCAGCAAATCAGAGAGATAATTGCATTCTATGTTTGTAGCAGCACTATCCACAATAGCCAAGATATGGAATAGACTGAGGTGTCTGTTGATGGACGAATGGGTAAAGAAAACACATTGTATATGCCGAATAGGATATTATTCAGCCATAAAGAAGAATGAAATCCTGTCATTTGCAGCAAAATGAATGGAACTAGGGATCATTATGTTAATAAAATAAGCCAAGAACAAGAAAAATGCTTCATGTTGTCACTAATATGTAGATACTTGAAAAAGACCTGAATGTAGTACTGATTTCTAGAGGTTGGGAAGGAAAGAGGAAGGGGAAATAGGGAAGGTTGGATAATGGGTTCCAAAACACAGATAGTAGGGTTATGTTTCACTGTTCCACAGCACACACAGTTGACAGTAGTATACAGTAATGTGGTACATGTTATAAAAAACTAGAAGAGAAGATTTCAAAGACTCCAAACATAAAGAAGTAATAATGAGATGGGAATGCTAACTACTGTGATTTAATCAGTATATGTCATATAAAATGTCTTGAAATATACTGTGCCCCATACATACATGCACTTATTATATGTTAACCAGAAAAATATTGTGGAATGTAAAAAATTAAGATTATATATAAAGAGACTATTTAGAAGCTTTTCTCAGCAATACCTTTACTAATTTAGCTCTAACTATTCACTTTAGTATCTCATAGTAGAAATTTGGGGGTAGATAAAGTGAATAAGAGGGTACAGCGATTTGCATAGTGGTTAAAGCCACTGCCTGCAGTGCCAGCATCCCATATGGGTGCTGGTTTGAGTCCTGGCTGCTCCACTTCCAATCCCGCTCTCTGCTGTAGCCTGGGGAAGCAATGGAAGTCTTTGGGCCCCTGCACCTGCATGGGAGACCCTGAAGAAGCTCCTGGCTCCTGGCTTCAGATTGATGCAGCTCCAGTTGTTGCTGCCATTTGGGGAGTGGACCAGTGGATGGAAGATCTAGCTCTCTGTCTCTGCCTCTGTGTAACTCTGCCTTTCAAATAAATAAGTAAATCTTTAAAATAAAAAATAAAGTGAATAAGATACTATCTATGGCCTAAAATAACTTGCAGTACAATAGCAGGTCACATGGGTGCTTATTTGATCAGTGCAATACAGTGTAAATTGGTTTCCGTTCCAGAAAGATCAAGATCATGATCATGTCCAGATTTCTAGAGTAGCCTTTGAACCATGGTAGGCAAAATGTATGAGGAAAGGAGGACTTTCTTCATGGATGATCCTGAGGCAGAGAAGTGAGTGCAGTGGCCAGTATAGGTCGACATGGTGGGGATCATAATTTCTGAACCCCAAATTGGGACAAATAACAGACAAGTATGAAATTGTATAATACTGAAGGCAACATTGAATCCTTGACACCAGGATTGCTGTAGGTACAGAAGTGTTTAGTCTACCATGGATGAGTTAATTTCCTTCCATTCAGTTTTCTTTCCTAATTTTATGTTAGGAACATTATACCTCCTGTTACTTTTGGAATCTTGCTGTAGTCTTCCATGTGTAAGAATATATTTTACAAATAAACTTGTATCACAGATTCTTGCTCTTATAATGTGAGATATAAAGTCACACTCACATCAGTAGTTATTTTAGAGACTAGTATATGTTGACAGAGGCTGTTAACCTAAGCAGTGTCGTTTTGGCAAATGATAAATTGGTGACAGCATGTGTGTGCTACTCTGTGGTGTCATGCTCATTTAAACAGATAGTGATACTACAGTACCGTTGATTCAGCCACATAAGCTGGCTTTATGGCTACAAAAATACCCAGACTTTTTTGGCATGAAGGAAAACTCTCAGTTTCTTTTTGTCCTTTTAAAAAACTTTACATACTTGTTTTCTCTAACACAAATGGATATATAGTCCTAAGATTTTTAGAATATAGCTATTCTTATGGGGAAAACTTCCCACATAAAGGAATCATTGTATTATAACAGAATCTCATTTATTTGATCCTTGCCAATTTATTTCTCCAGCTGTTCCATTTTGATGTGTAACTAAAAGGTGAAGAAGGTACCCTTGTGCACACACCCCAGGTCTCCAGTAAATGACACTTTCTCCCAGACACACTTTCCGCCCATGTGTACTCATCAGCTTTTGATGATCTTAACTAAAATACCTGGGAGGAGCTTCTTGGGAAAGAAAAGGTTTATGTCAGGCTACAGTTTTGGAGATTCACAGCCCAATATTGAGTTCCATGCTGAACCTATCACACAGCCCAACATGGGCTGACCAAAGAATTAGCCAGATATTCATGTAGATCACATCCTCATCAATTCAATTAAGTGTGGTTGTACAAATTTTGTAGTATTTTATCATTATTATTTGTGTGTGTTCATATGTTTTAACGGTAGTTTATGGCAGCAGTGAAGGGGGAACTTGATACTTATTATTCTTAGGGATAATACTCTCTTCTCATGAAATTATATAAAATTAGCACATTTAAATCCACTTAGAACTGTGAAGACATATTTCTATTAATTTTATTCTAAGTAGATAGAATAAAGACAAATAATTGCAAAGATGAATTCTGGTCTTGTTTTGGGCAGAAGAATATTAGAATTATCAAAATATAATTATTAAATAATACTTTCTGCCCATCAGTTTATTATTTTAAGGGACTACCTCTTTTCAAGTCCTTTATATACCTACTGCCTTTTTTCGTAATTTGTATGGAATGTGTCCTAGTTACTCTCTTAGAAATGCTACCCAGGCAGCTCATGCTAGCACAATTAAATTTTCCTCTTTGAATCTTCTTGCCAGGAAAACACTGTAATTTCACTAAAACCCATAGCATTACATAGATATTATGTTATTCACTTATCTGTGCACTTGTATTTAGAAAGCAGAACATATTATCTTTCCTTTTTTTAAGATTTATTTATTTTATTTGTAAGTCAGAAAATACACAGAGAGAGGAAAGGCAGAGAAGTCTTCCATCTGATGGTTCACTCCCCAGTTGACTGCAACAGCCAGAGCTGTGCCGATCTGAAGCCAGGAGCCAGAAGCTTCTTCTGGGTCTCCCACGTGGGTGCAGGGGCCCAAGGACTTGGGCTATCTTCCACTGTGTTCCAGGCCATAGCAGAGAGCTGGATTGAAAGTGGAGCAGCCGAGACTCGAACCACTGCCCATATGGGATGCCGGCACTTCAGGCCAGGGCGTTAACCTGCTGTGCCACAGCGCCTGCCCCCATATTATCATTCAAATACAAATTACTGGCTAATAAAAAACTAGTGCAAGATTTCATGCATCATTTAGTAATACAACAATTTTTCTTCTTTTTCAGAAGCACTACTGAATTTAAATTTAATCTTTTGGTTTGGTGTCATTATAATCTTAGAAACCTCATCTTGGTTTTCAGTTGTTCTTTTGCTAGAAGAAACTAACCAATTTTTGGTGAAATGTTTTATGATTCAATATTGCCTATTTATAAACTTTGAATTTTCTTTACAGAAATAGACAGATTAAATAAAAGTTTGACAGTGTCCCAGAGAAGTAAGTTATGCCTTGAAGAGGAAATGAAAAATCTGAAATTGTTGTCAGATGCAGCCATATTGAGGTCTCAGCAGATTGAGACATCTAAACAGCAGGAAGTAAGCTTGCAAGCCAGATGCCATGAATTTCAAAAAGAAGTACTAGGTAAAGAGAATTTTTTATTGTTATTAGCAACTAGATACAGTAAGGAAATGCCTGAACTATTTTCTTAGAATCACAACCAAATCTTGTTTTAATTGTTTTGTGTTGCAGATATGCCTAGTCATTAGTAACTGATGATAACTGTGTCTGTGATTAATGTTTGCTGTCAGCCCTTCCGTTTTGCCATTTAAAGTGCTAAGACTTAAGTGGATGTATTAAAGACATTTCAAGTACATAGTAAGATTTCAGAAAAAACAAAGTGGAAGTTACTTGGGTATATCCTTATCCCCAGTGGGTTAATGGTTTAGGGTAGTGAAGGAAGATACAGTGTATATAAGGAATCAAAATTTTTTGTTTTTATTTTAATACTTTCTAAAAGTGTTTTAAAATTATGCAAAATGATAAATTTTAAGAACCTAGTGTTGCCGGCGCCGTGGCTCAATAGGCTAATCCTCCACCTTGCGGCGCCGGCACACCGGGTTCTAGTCCCGGTTGGGGCGCCGGATTCTGTCCCGGTTGCCCCTCTTCCAGGCCAGCTCTCTGCTATGGCCAGGGAGTGCAGTGGAGGATGGCCCAGGTGCTTGGGCCCTGCACCCCATGGGAGACCAGGAAAAGCACCTGGAGCCTGGCTCCTGCCATCGGATCAGCGCGGTGCGCCGGCTGCAGCGGCGGCCATTGGAGGGTGATCCAACGGCAAAGGAAGACCTTTCTCTCTCTGTCTCTCTCTCTCACTGTCCACTCTGCCTGTCAAAAAAAAAAAAAAAAAAAAATCTTATAAAAAAAAAAAAAAAAAAAAGAACCTAGTGTTGAACATACAATGATTGATTCTGGTGCTCTCTATACTTCTTTTATTGTCAGAAAACACATGGCATTAAATTTACTATCTCAACCATTGTTTGTTTTCAAGATTTTTTTTTCTTTATTATAAAGGCAGAGTTACAGAGAGAGAGGAAGAGAGAGAGAGAGAGAGAGAGAGAGAGAGAGAGAGATTCCATAAGCTGGTTCACTCCCCACATGGCCGCAATGGCTGGGGCTGAGCCAGTCCAATGCCAGAAGCCAGGAACTTCGTTCAGGTCTCCCAAGTGAGGGCAGGATCCCAAGGACTTGGGCCATCTTCCACTGCTTTCACGGGAGCATTAGCAGCGAGCTGAATTGGAAGTAGAGAAGCGAGGACCCAAAGCAGCAACCACATCGGATGCTGGCATTGTTGTGACTCAACCCTCTGTGGCACAACACCAGCCTCAGTCTCAACTATTTTTAAGTGTACATTTCAATAACGTTACTATATATGCATTTTGTACAACAGATCTCTAGAAATTTTTCATCTTGCAAAACTGATTTCTTTCTACCCTCTCATTCTTGGCAGCTACATTTCTACTTCCTGTTTCTACATGTTTACCTTTTTTTAGATTCCACATATATGAGATCATATAGGATTTGTCTTTCTGTGTCTGAGGTATTTGACATAGCAAATGTCTTCGAGGTTCACCCATGTTATCACAAATAGAATTTCCTTCTTTTCAGTTACTTTCCACTTTCTGCCACTAATTTGTATTATGAATAATACTGTGATGAACAAGGGTATGCAAATACCTCTTGGAGACCCTGTTTTGAATTCTTTATGATATATACCCATAAGTAGGATTGCTGAACCATATGATAGTTCTGCTTTTAATATTGTGAGAAACCTTAGTATTTTCTATAGTGGCAGCACCATTTTATGTTCCCAACAGAAGTGTATAAGAGTTGCAGTTTGTCTAAGTCTTCTCCAACACTTATTAAAATAACTTCCTTTGATAATAGCTATCCTAATGGATATGAAATGATACATCACTATAATTTTTTTTATAATTCTATTTTTCCACAGATTTTCATTTTATCTTTTTTTTTCCAACTTTCATTTAATAAATATAAATTTCCAAAGTACAGCTTTTGGATTATAGCGGCTTTTCCTCCCATAACTTCTCTCCCACCCACAACCATCCCATCTCCCACTCCCTCTCCCATCCATTCTTCATCAAGATTCATTTTCAATTATCTTTATATACAGAAGATCAACTTAGTATATACTAAGTGAAGATTTCAACAGTTTGCACCCACACAGATACAAAAAGTATAAAGTACTATTTGAGTACTCGTTATACCGTTAATTCACGTAGTACAACACATTAAGGACAGAGATCCTACATGAGGAGTAGGTGCACAGTGACTCCCATTGTTGATTTAACAGTTGACACTTTTGTTTATGACGTCAGTAATCACCTGAGGCTCTTTTCATGAGCTGCCAAGGCTATGGAAGCCTCTTGAGTTCACAGACTCCAGTCTTACTTAGACAAAGCCATAGTCAAAGTGGAAGTTCTCTCCTCCCTTCAGAGAAAGGTACCTCTTCTTTGATGGCCCATTCTTTCCACTGGGATCTCACTCACAGAGATCTTTCATTTAGGTCATTTTTTTGGCCATAGTGTCTTGGCTTTCCATGCCTGAGAAACTCTCATGGACTTATAGCCAGATCCAAATGCTTTAAGGGCTGATTCTAAGGCCAGAGTGCTGTTTAGGACATCTGCCATTCCATGTCATTATAATTTTGATTTGTATTTCTCTTATGATTATTGGTGTTGAGCATCTTCTCATTTACTTGTTGGCTATTTATACATCTTCCTTAAAGAATTGTCATTCAAGTTCTTTGCCCATTTTAAAAAATGATAATTTGGGCCCTTTTGTTGTTGAGTTGTAGAAATTCTTCATAAATTCAGGATATTAGCACCATATTAGATATATAATTCTACTCCATAAATTGCTTTCTCACTCTTTTGGCTGTTTACTTAGATGTGTAGAGGTTTTAAGGTGTGTTTCCCATTGAGTGACATGTCTAAGAAACATTGCCAAGTTCAACGTCTTAAAGTTTTTTCCTGAGTCCTTCTAATGGTAAACACATTTTTAGAAAATCCTCCATTTTCCCAAATCAAAATAATAAAATTTGTGGTGGGGGATACCTAGGGCAAGGTTTTTAAATTTCTCAGTACCTCAAAAGGAATGAATGTCTTGCTAAAAAGTCTAGGGAGTTTCATTTTACCTGAAGGCTGTAAGGAATAATTGAAAATTGGTTTTCAGGAGAATAACATAATAAAAGCAGTGTTTTAGAAAAATGAGCTCTTAGCAGTGAATGGAGGAGTTTTGAACATCAAGAGATTGTAGCAAATATCTTTTGCAGTAACCAGTTCCCAAAACTAAACATAATAAACTGAAGTAGGGGAAAAAAGTAACATCTTTCAGGTCCTAAGTGTGCTGATCACCATTTTACCATTTTGTATAAAAAAACCTCTGTCTATTTTCACAATAAAATGCAGATATAACTATTACATCTTGCAGAGGAGAAAAACCAGGGCTCAGAAAGTATCATGGCTGATGCCACATAGCTGGTAAGTGTCAGGGAGTGGAAGAGAAAGCAAACCTAGTTGGGCTTCAAGGCTCATGTTTGTCTCACTGTGTGTACTTAGCCTTCTCCATGGCCACAAACAGAAGGCTAAGATAAAAATAGGTTTGAGAGTACTACTCAAGACCAGGGAAGTGATGAATATCTGAGTAGTCAAAGAAGAGAAGGAAATAGCAGATGGCTCTGACCCACTTGTTCTTGGGAGTCTTCAATGACGGGAGTATACTACAGACTAGGAAAATCTGGAGAGATGCCAATGGTAAGAGAAAATAATGAGTCATCGAATCAATTTGGTAGCAATGTGAAACCAGATAAAACTTTTAAAATCAAATTAAGATGAAATATAATCAGGTATTTTTATTTTCTGTGAATTACCTATTTATAGATTGTTACAGTTTTCTCTTATGTTATTGGAATTTTTGATAACCTAACAGGAATTTGTAGACTTTAATTGTCTTCTGTATAGTTGGAATTAGATTTTATGTTTGTATTTTGGTCACATTCTTTATTTTCCTTCATTTCCTACATTCTTAAATATTCAATTTTTTTCTAATGTCTTAATTTGTCTTTGGACTTTTTTATGTTAAATGTCATTATGTCATAAGTTTTCATTTGGTATGATCAAACGATCTGGTTAGTCTTGGTTACAGTCTCATACTGAAAGTCTCTTTAAGTCATTAGGTCATTTAAGAATTTATTTTTTATATGGTCCAAGATATATTATTATTTTTGAAAATGAATAGTCCATTGTATTATATAGTATGAGAATACTTCAAAAAATTCATGGGTAGATGAAATTAAAAGATACTTATTTTGGTGCAAAAATATTTGAAATCCATGCATAGTTTTTTCATAATACACATTTTCCATGAACTTTAATAAAACTTCTAATATGCATATATGTAACAATATTTTTGCATCAAAATTAACATACCTTTCAATTCCATTTTCCGTGTACAAAACATTTTTAAAAACATGTATACTTTTTTCATGTTACACATTTCTATGAACTTTTTGAATACCTCTCATAAGTAATCCGTCATTTTCCTACTATATAGAATAACCATCTATTAATCCATCTTTTTCTCACTATATAAAACTACCATCTATCAAATGATAAATTTATTCTGGTATCTATCGTTGTGTTCTTTCTTCTACTCTTCTAATCTGTTACATGTTCCTATAGTATATTGCATTGAATGGAGTCACTTAATAGCATGTTCTTACGGGTGCTGTCTTTTCTCTCTCCCCTGCTGTTAATTTTCAAAATACATACTTTCAAGCAGTCATTCTTCTATTTGAACTTTAAGATAATTTTATTATCTCTAACCCAAAGCTGCTGATAGGTTCCTAGTAAAGTTTTTCTCTCCCTAATCTTTAAACTTTCTACTTTTGTTACATACAATTATTCTTCCATATATACGTTGATAATTTTTATTTAATTCTAATGTCATCATGGATTCTTTTTGTTTGTTTGTTTGTTTGTTTGACAGGCAGAGTGGACAGTGAGAGAGAGAGACAGAGAGAAAGGTCTTCCTTTGCCGTTGGTTCACCCTCCAGTGGCCGCCAC